GACTGGAAATCTTCTTCTCTGTTTTACTGGTTGTGGTCACCAGTTCAGGCAGGTATAACAGGGAAGCGCCTGTTCACTGCTCCATCAGCTCTGGATGTTCTCCAGATGCCATTGGGGAGACCTGGTGGCTCCTGAGAAAGAAAATATTCTCACAAAGGCTCACTGGAGTGATTAGTAGCAGTCCCACACCTTGGGAAGCCCGTGCTATCTGTGGCTCTGCCCTGATGAAACTAGGTACCGGCTGGATAAGAGCCAGGCCTGGGCCACATGGCCGGGCAGAGCACAGCAAGGGAGCCAGGAGGAAGGAAATGAAGTCAGCCCTGTGATCCTCACCAGATGCACACTCACACTTTGCTACGAGCCCATTACCCCTGACCATTACCCTGATGTGCTGCTGGGGCAGCTGCCAAACTTGGCATGGGCCCAGCCTGCTCCCAGGGGTCTCCTTTGGGCCAGGGCAGCCCCTTCCCAAGGGAGCCGTGTGGAGCAGAGCTGGCTCCATGAGTTACACTCAGCTATCCCTGCACAGCCAGCCACAGCACAGCACAGTGTGAGCATGGTGATCCATAGGCACTGGTGTTATCCTGCTCAGGCTTGTGTGGGACTGGTGGATGGCGAAGGCTGAAAATACTGGGTGGGTAGTGATCACAGAAAATATTTGCATTTTTATCAGGCCATGAAAATCATGGGGCTTAAAGGAACTGTCCATGGAATACAACCAGCAAGGAGTTGCTTAAGACAGCCAGCTGCTGGGACAGGCAAATCATGGCCTCAGGACAAACTGGGAAGAAGATCCTGTTCCCAGCAGCCCTGCCTCTGTCCTGAACTCCTGCAGGACTGAGATGACTTTGGGTCCAGTGCCAGGGGCTGTGAGTGGGGAAGGAGGAGGAGAGCTTGGAGAGGCAGCTCCACAGGAGCTTCTGACAGCAGGAGGTGAGGTGAAAGAGCAGGAGCCTGGCCTTTTTGTGACTCTAGCACAGATTTGTTAGAAGAAGTAGCACTTGGAAGGAGAGGGAACAGAGCAGATACAGCTGTGGGATAGGAGGCCAAAGGAGAAACAGGGAAGACAAGGGAAGACCACAGCTAGGAGACACATTCAGCCAAGCCAGCTGCTCATATCATGTTTTGGGGTTTCTTAATTGATTTTTACACTAACAGACAAGCTGATTTTTTGGTTTTGGATGTTTCTCTAGAACTGAGTCATTTCCTGGGGTGGGGGTTGGGAAGAAAGTAGCGTTTTTCTCAAAGTTTTAAAACAGAGTTTTAGCATTTGGATTAAGGATTCTTTCTTTGTTTGGTTATTCTCTTTCTTTCACTGAAACAGTTAAATTTTAAAAAACATAAAAACAAAAGCCAGCAGTTGACAACCCCTGAATTTGTGCCGGAGTTGCTCTTTGCTCAGATTGCCCATACCAGGTAGCCCAGAGCAGTGTTCGGGGTGGAGGGTGAGACTGGCCAAAGCGGCCCAGCTCCAGACTGCCTTGTCATCGTGTTCACCCGCAGAGGTTGATGCTTTTTCCAGCTCCTGCACACGTCACTGGTCTTTGTGCCTGTCTGCTCCTCAGCACAGTGACCTTTCTTCTGGTTTACACATCAAAATGGACTGTTTTGGCAGCAGTTTCCAGTTCAGTGTGAGCCACATGCACTATAGTGGACATAGGGAAAAGTTGCCTAAAGCCACCAGAGCTTATATGTTGACCTGGCAAAGCCTAGGGTGAAACACTGGTGAGTCTGGGTCTTTTTTTGGCCAGAAAGCTGTAAATGCAATGTGTTAGTTAAATCTTAAATGGACATCTGCACTCAAGCTTACTTGATAGACTTTAGAGTCTAATTAAAATGTAAGTGGCAAAGGGGCTATCAGCCTCAGAGCAGGTTTATTTTTTTGAAAACAGGAGTTAACCACCTTGAAGGAGAAGTCACACCATCCAGGAAGCTCCAAGCACCAGCTTCACTCTGTCCTGTCTTGCCTGTGGCCTGGGAACAGGAAAACCATTGGCCAAGGTGAAATGAACATCAAAAACTTCCATTGACATCAGTGGGTCATGGACTCGTGGCATTTTTTTGGTCTGTTTGGTAAGCATGTCCTATAGTAGTTGGTTCCTGGAATGCTGTGTGCGTGGATTCTCAATGGAGAAGGAGACAAACATTCCCTTTATTGCCTCTGCGTCACACAGCTGGCTGCAGAGGGACCAGTGCTCTTGGTGTAATTAAGCTGGAAATCAGAGTCACTGCAGTTACCTCAGATCCTGAGAGGTTTATCTCACTGCACTGTTTAGCTGGTTATCCTCCCTAAATACCGTGAAGTGAGAGAAAAGAAAATTTTTAAAGGTGTGCTCATTTAATCCAGCAGGAAACCACAGAAGATATGTTGGGACCATGCACCAGCTTGATCCAACTCTACCCTCAGTTTCTCATGTCTTTCTTTCAATGCTTGCTAGGACCCTTAGCACCACATGATGTGGAGTAACATCTGGAATTACAGACTAGCCTGGAGCACTGATCCTTGGAAGTCGACAGGCACATGGTCAACAGCAGGCAATTGTAAAATACAGCCTGGCCCTTGAAAACATCTTGATTTCTTATCCTCAACAGATGGTATTAACCCATTCTTATCTAAACTGGTGAGGAGCAGTGATTGTTTTAAAACAAAAGGAAGCTAGAGAATACTGATTACTAATTTCCTCCAAACCACGTCATGTGGGTCATCTTCCTCGTGTGTTGTTTGTTTTGCTGATTAGCCTTTAGGTAGATATTCATATATCAACTGTTATTTTCCGCTGTGAATTGTGGTTTTCTGCCCAGCAGCAAGTCCAGTTTCCAGGGTAATTGGGAAGCCAACTCCTTTCTAACTACGCAAAAGATGAACTGTGTTTCCTGCAACTTTAATGTCTCTCATGTTAGTGGTTGAGTAATAGCCGGACACAACAGTGTCTTCTGTAAGGAATTATGCCAAGAGCTGCTGCTCAGAAGTGAATAAAACTTTTTTAAACTTTCTTTTTTCTTTTTTTTTAAAAAAAAAAGTGTTTTGAATTATTTGAAGCTGCAAAAACAGCCCTTTTCAATCAAAGCTGATCCTTCACAACAACAGGATGCGTTGCTCTATTTAACCAAGTAATAATAATGGTTTTAGTCACTGGACATGCGTCGCTTCCTGTTGGGAGTATTGCACAGAAAACTAATTTATTGTGTATTTGGACAATTTATATACAGAGTTGTTTTTGAATACCATCTGTGTGTAAGAAAATATGTCTTTGGAATAAGATAGTGTGATTTGTCTATTGGATGTACAGCATAAAACAAAATGAAGGTAAGCAGTCTCTGAAGGTCTGTGCTGCTCTGTTAGCATTAGCAAAACCATGAGTATTTGGGGTCTCCATGGTTCTGATTTCTGATGAGTCAGAAAAATTCAGTCTCTAACTGCTCATTCTAGTTGCACAAGACCTTTCACCTAAAAACTCCCAGTTGCTTAAAAGGCAATTACTGGGAGCAATGGCAAAATTTTGCCCAAGGACTTCTTCATTGCCCCCTGCTAATGATCTGCTGGGATTCTGCCTCTCCCAGAGCATAAGCATAGCAGAGTAATTCTGGTGTCTGTCATTGCTCCCTTACTTGTATTAACAGTGTATTTCATGGCTAACTTCTCATCTTGCAGAGTTGGTTTCTCCACGTTAAGCTGTACTAATGAACTGAGAACAGATTCTGAGCTCTCACTCTTCCAGGGGAAAAAGCCCAAACTTGGCTGAAATTAATGGAGTTGGTCGGCTTTGACCTGGCATAAGGAGTGTCTTCGTCTGCCTTCAGGTAAATGCCCTGGGGCTTTTCTTTCAGCCAGGCAAGGCTGCTGACACTGTCCTGGAAGCAATTAACATTTCAATCATCTTTGGGTTTCAGCAGTGCAGTTCCTGTCAGGGTGCTGAAGAAGGGACTGACAGGCAGTGCCCCATGCCCCGACCTGAGAGCTGTAATGAGATCCCAGCATTTCCCTGACAGTGGAGGACAGGCTGCACTCTGCCCTGCACAGTCGGTGGGATTCTGGGGAAGGAAATGCATATCAAAGCTGGTGACAACTCTTCTGTGTGCATACATAAATCAAGGTTTTGCTGTGCTTTTAGAGAATTATTTTTTTAATCTATCTGTATGTCAGTGAAGGATTTTCAATCAGAAAACTATCAACATCTGCAGATCCAGGCTTTCCTACATCATCTGAACTCAGACTGAACATCTGTCAGCCCAGCCAATTGTTTTACCATTTTTCTGCTGAGCTATTTGCTGCTGGGAAGAGGAAGGGGGTGTTGAGCCCCTATCTAACCCCAAGGGCCCAGTTACCTTCTCAGTGTAAATCGGGATCCTCCTTTCAGTGCAGTGGGGTTAGAAATAAAACCCTGCTCAGAATGGCCCACGCTCTCCCCAGTGCCAACAGCCAAGGGGAAACTGGGTCACACTAAAGAATGCACAGATGGGGAAAAAAGAGGATCCAGGGAACCTTGTCATTGAACTTCACCTTTATCCTCTGGCCACATGAATTGTGGTCCCTGAACATTTCAGCTCAAGCTGTGTTTAGCTCCTTTATCACTTTATCCCCTTTCCATCCTGTTTGTTGCTTTGGCCAGTTCTTTCACTGTGGTTAATTGACCTGGTTTCACTGATTTCTGTGAAGACTGGCCAAGCCTCCCAAGCTGGAGAAGTGGGTCACTGTCCATCATGTACACTGAGGCTTCAGCAGGAGGTTGCCTCAGCTCCTTCTTAACAGAGGAGCCTTTTTGGTGACATGTGAAGCTGCATTTTCACCCCAATTTCACCAGTCATGATTGGTTTCTGTAGGAGGAACACCTGGGAGGTGCTGTGAGGAAAAGGAGGGACTGGTGCCTTAACATCTGTGTGAATCATGCTTATGTTGGTCCAGATAAATTTAACTTGGGACTTACTCGGTATGAGAAACTTCAGACAGAAAAAACCCAACAGACTGTAATTCCCCAATGAGGGCTTTATTGCCAAATGGATGCACTGCATCAAGTGCTACAAGAAATAAATGTATCCAAGAGGGAGAAGTAATCCTTCTGTTAGAAATTACTGCAAACAAAACTGCAAATGTTGCCATCACTGTTGAAATTTGAACCGTGAGAGTGGAATTCCATACCTCAAAAAATTGCATTTTGGCCCAAAGTGGGAGGCAGAAAACTTTCTCTTAAAAAAAACAAAAATTACAGAAGTCTAAGGATCTACCTTTTAAACACCCTTTCTTTTTAGATCAGACAACAGTTATGCTTAGACTAGTATTTACTAAGCTAATGTTCAATTCTAAAAGAACACAGTCTAGAAAACAGGAAAGTTACTTAGCTGGATGTGGACAATTTTATTCATGTCAATGGAAACTGAACTGTTTCAAGCTAAGCACCAGATTAAGTACTTAATCAGAGCTAAAATTCATCCAATTTCTGTAAGGAAACAAAAAATCTCATTTCAGTGGAACTAAAGCAATGCATTGTATCCATTTCCCTTTTGAAATATAGACGTTATTGCAATTTGTGAACACAGACACCTCCCTGGCTGAATCACCAAAGTGCCTGGAAATGAACAACAGTGTTCAGGTCGTGATATTTGCTGTAAAATGAAAGAACCTGACTTCACCCAAGTACTCCGATATCCTAGTGTAATGCTACTCCCTGGAGAACAGTTCCAAGTGCTTTTCTTGGTATAGTGTGAATGACTCAGACAAAAGGTTTTCTCCCTCTGTTCTCCCTGAGTGACCAATGTGCAGGAAGGGGAAAACGCTGCGTTTCACAAGGCAAGTCCTCCTGTCTTCCTGAACTTGTCAGACCTTCCTCCTCTGCTTTCCAGCTCTGCAATACTTGTCCTGCCAGCCAAGCATGGTCAGACTAAAAAGAGATTGTTGGACCAGCAGATACACAGAGCAATGAGCCAGTGTTGGACCACCTCATGATAGTTCCTTCACTGCAGAAATCAGAGCCCACACAAGGATGCAGCTCTGTCATCAATGCAGTCTCTGAAAGCCTTGCTGATGTGAATGAGGCTGAGAGCTGTGGGAAGGAAGAGCCATGTCTTGATAAGCAGTGCACAAAGATCTGTCAGCCTGGTCACAGCTCTGGAGGGTTGTAAGGCATCATCTCTTATGGCATTTGTGGAATCCTTTATTACCTGCTGACGAACATGAGCACCAAACTCTTTTTGATACTGGACAAGTGAAAGCAGTATGATACTCAGATTCCTGTGTCTTGGGAGAGTAAGGAATGTGTGCTTAGCTATAGGATGGTGCTCATCAAATTGTGACTGTCACGGAATTGTTCTAATTACACCATCAATCCATATAGGATTAATACATGAAAGCCCAGGCAGGGAAACATATGCTGTGGGGGTTTTATCTTCAGCACAAGCCTCTAATCTTTCCTCAGGAAATTACCATGTATTTTGTCAGTGCCTTGGTGTTAATTCTTAAAACCTAAAGACTTCAACCAAATGGAACTGACCATCTACCTTTTTTCTTTCTTATAATTGTAGTAATTGTTACCTCATTAACTATTTCCCCGGGCAGGTTCATGCAATAAGCTGAGCTTGGCAGAACCACCGGGATTGTAGCCCTGAAGGAAAATGTCATAGCTCTCCATATCTGATACATTTTGTTTAGCAGAGATTTAAAAGCAGCAGTAACAGAACTGTAACAAGATATGTTTGGCAAGAAGATACAAAATAACTATTAAGCACTTTTACATCTGTTTCCTTTTTCATTCTTTTTTCCTTCTCTAATTACTTAACATCAATCTGCTATCACAGTAGCTTGGATTTTCTCTTTGTGGGTCTAGCCTCCACGTCACTGGCACTGGATTTCATTGCTGTTGCTTCACCAGTAAGTATTGAGTCTCTTTGTACTTACATACCCTGACTCCTGCAGACAAAGTGATTGGCAGCACATCTCTTTAAACACCCCTGTCAAACAAAGGTATGAAGAACAACACGGCTTGTTCTGTATTGCCAGCACTCACATGTGTACAGTCTGATAATCACATATAAACCAGTGTGAGATTTTGGAAGATGGGGGACAAATCTGTGGAAAGCTTTATACACGCCAGGAAAAAAACTGTCTTTTGAGTAAGTACATATGCCCTGAAGTACCCCATATATATCAGCAGATGTATAACAGGTTCAGCAAAAAAAATTGAAAACAGTTATTTTTTCATCAGACGGTAAATAGTTTTTATGGTTTGATTTTTATTTTCAGGTACTGTGAGTCAAAAAGAAAATAAATGTTCTCTTTGGAGGAATGTGAGATTTGCTCCTGCCTGTCATGTTTCAAAGCTCAGGAGCAGAGGGCTGTCTCATGGGATATGGGTTGGGCTAAGGCTGGCACTTTGCCCCACAGTAGTTGCAGTGTAAGGAGCTCCCAGGGAAACCTTCCCAGTCATCCTGCCTGGCCACCAACCATGGCAGCATTTGTTCTCTGTAGAGAAGAAGGGGTCTGAAAATAAGAATATTAATTGCTTCCTAAAAAGGCTGGGGTGACCTGACCAAGGCTCTGTGCTCAGCACTGTGTTTGTTTGCAGCTCTGCAGGTACTGAATGTGTTGACTGTGTTAGAGGTGTGTAACTGCAACCTGATAAGGACAACTGCCATGGTCTGTGTGTTGGTAGGAATAATCAATTGCAAAGAAATGGAGTAAAGAGCCAACAGAGCAAGCAGGAGTTAGCTGGAAAGGTGAGGGAGAGAGAACTGCAGGCTCAATGGTAAACAGCAGTGTCATGGAGCACTTGAAAAAAAAAAGGCAAATATCATACTAGGGTAGATCAGTGAAAGTGCAGTCTACAAGCTATGAGCTCATCCTACTATTCTACTCACCATGAGTAAGACCACAGTTGAGTACCATATCCAGCCTGCGGCATTTGAGAGGAGTTGTGGGTCAGCTTCAGAGAGATGAAGAAGAAGAATGACTCAGAAATTGAAGAAGGAAACAGTAGAAGGAACTGCAATAATCTGAAGAAATTACAGAACAGAGGCAATGATAAATATGTAAATAACTGCAGTGAAGAGGAAAAGAAATTATTCTTAATGTTGATTGTGGGATGTTGGATGTAATTGCACTGCTTTTTTAGACATTAGGGACCAAGCTTTTCTAGGAAATTTCCCCCTAGACAATTAACATCAGGGTCTGACCTTTTGAAACCACAGTGACTAAAAGGCAATGTGGAGAAATTGAGTTTGCCCACAAAATGACTCTGAGACAGCACAGAGGACTCTCAGCTCACTATCTCCTCTTCTTCACTTCTCAGAATTTGTCCTTGAGCTAAAAGGAAAAATATTTGGTTTCAAGTAATGGTAATAGTTGTAGGCAGGTGAGGACTGAAGCCAGAATGTGTCATTTCTGCTGCCTCCTACCACTCTTTTCACAGAGAGGAGCATCTCTGCTCATCTGTCTCTAACCCTGCTGCTTCCACTGGCCCCAGTCCACTGAGCCAGTGCTGCATGTGGAGTATACACTGGTTCACTGCAGCAGTTTTGGTCACTTCACCTCTTCTCTCCAGATTCACTGTAACAGGGTATCTGTTCAAAATTTCCTCTATTTGCTTTCAGAACATCAGGGTGGAGAATTCCAGATGAATGCCACAAAATCGAAGATCACACTTGGGACAGGCAGCAGTTCTTGGTGCTGTGCTGTTGTTGCCATAGAAGGCAGAAAGTGCCACCAAGGTCTAGTGACGGGTAAAGTAACCCCCAGCAGCACCACCAAGGAGGGAATGTATTCCACAGTTCAGTTTTCTGCTTCCTCATGCACTGATAAAAGCATGTTAACAGAACAGCAGGCTTTATCCAGGATTTCTAGGGAGAATAGGGGAGATAAGAGCTTAAAGAGAAGGAAGGGAGGAGTAGGTAATGCTTGAGAGTTGGACTGTCTGGTTGTCAGTCTCAAATGCATGTTTCAGGTGAAAACATGACCTACTTTTCAAATTTACATCTCTCAGGAAGTCCAGGAATGGTCTCAGACTAATGGTGGTTTTGGTTTGTAAGATTTCAGAAGCCCAAATTTAAGTGACGTCAAAAAGAAAAAATATTGATAGACCTCCACAGATTTTAAATAATCACCATTGGCCCTTCTGTGCTTGCGCTTTTTAAAAATTGAACTGGAGCTAATTATCATAAGTTTATTCCAGCTGAAGAATATGGTTCAGACTTTGCATGTGAAGACTGACATGCAGTTGGAAGAGCCCACATACTCCAAGAAAGCATTGCTGATTTCTGACACACAGTAGCATGCAGAAGCCAAAATATGTTTTTTCTATTTTAATTACATGACCAGTACTCCTGAATGGGAGCCTGAACTCCATCTCCACTGACCTTGAAAATGCCTTGGAGGTTTATGATGAAATGAAGCATATGTTTTCTGATGATTTTTGGAAAGTGAGGAAACATAAAAACAAGTTGGTCTAGTTTTAAATTTTTTTCCAGGGAATAGTGTGATATACCATCAGAGCTCCCACATTATTGCAGAGAATTTGGCAGTTTTCCACTTCAGTTCCTGTAACATACATGGGATTTGGCAGTTGTATGCAAATGCTCAGATCAGGATTTCATATATGACAGCCTCAGCCCTGACTAACTGGACATGGGTAAACCATGTGAACAGCCATTCTGGCTCTTGCTGATAAATCAGATCATCTTAATAGCTGAATTATTGTAGTGAATTAAATGTATGTCTATGCCTCAGTCACATTAATGACTCTGTAATGCTGTAGACATACACAAATTGACTTTTAATTGATAGCTTGATTATGGGTCTGGCCACAGTGACACAGAGCTCTGCCTCTGTCTAGATTTAGTTGAGCAGTAACGCCTCAATGCCCAGACTCAGACCTGAATGAAGGCACCACTGACAGGTACACACAGAGGTCCTAAGGAGCCTTTGGAATGCACTTGTTACCCACTCTGAATGCACGGGTGGGAGTGGAGTGTGCATCAGCTGCACTCTGAAGGGCACCACGACAGCTGGAGCCCAGCTGCAAGGGCTGGGTGAGCATTCTGGATATATCAGCAACTAAAAATTCTCACCATGACATAGGCTGGAAAAATGGTGGACAAGGACAAACATGTAAAGCGAAATACATCTCCGTGAAAGTGCTCAGTGGGAGCTAGTTTGTATTTCACCCCAAATATTAAGCAATTGCAAGGTAGGTGAATAAAGTGGGTTTGATGTGGTTTTGTGCAATTAATATTCCTTTTTTCCCCACAGCACTCACTTTCCTATTGTCTTTCTCTCTTTATTTTTTTTTTTTTTCTCTGTGTCTCATGAGCTGTCTTCATATCCATGTCTTACTGTTTTTCACACTTCTTTTCCCTAAGGCTTTCACTATGCAGATTTATAACTCCTTTCATTTCCCAGGATACTGCTTACATACACAGGGTGAAAATCAGCCTTTTCCTGCCACATTATGTGGCCACCTTCCCTGCCACTCCTGAATGACTCCAGACTGCTATTCCCTTGAGGACTAAACTAGATTGGGATTTATTAAACCCTTAGTCCCCGGTTTGAATGATATATGGCCTCAGGCAGTAGGCACTAAGGTGAATGCACACTGTTTCTTTGTAAAGGCTCAGTAAACCACTGCAGAGTGCACTGCCCCAGGCATTCCTAAACTATCTTGTCCTGTGTCAGCAAGATGCCTTAAAGAACTCTCTACAGAGCTTTCATTGCTCCATTCTCCCTCTGCTCCCACCCTGTGCATTTCAATACAGTATGGAAAAGATTTCATCCTTAATTGAAATTCCTTTCATCAACCTAGATATAGCCTGAACAAAGATACTGACATGAAAAAGCAGTCAAGAACATATCTTTAAAATGTCAATTTGCCAGTGACAGGCATAAAGTGCAGTCACTGCAAATCAAGACTCTAAACCCTCATTGTATATTATCACATAGCTGCCACTTCTCCCTTCCCCCACCATCCCTCCCATAAGTTTTGATGCTTGTACATCTTTGTTTTCCTTTCCACATTCTTCTCATACTGTATTCACAGCAAATCTGAGGATAGCTGAGTCTTGACTAAAACCCTGCAGACCTAGAAGAAAGCTATTTTAAACCCTGAAGAGTGTAATTTGTCTTGGACTCATATTTCTGAAGAAATTGATCATTCAAGCTCCATGAGTTTTCTATTTTAACCATTTCTTTATTCATTCTGGTAAAGCAATTGATACATTTTTGTCTATATAGACCTGTAAGTTTAATGCTACACGGGTTTATGTGGCAGAAAATTGCTACAGTCTTGCTCAGGTGCAGAAAGAGAAATAAGTAATCCAAGTTCTTTCTGCTGGCACAGTGTAGGGAAGGATACACCCAACAGAAAAAACATAAGTATGGGCCATCTACCAAAGGCTGTATTTAGCCTGCTTACCCTGGGTGATTAATTTAGGTGTTATATCTTCAAGTTTTGGTTATACAGAGACCAGAGCCTGGAGAAAAGGAGGCTCAGGAGTGACCTTATTGTTGTCTACAGCTATCTGACAGGAGGCTGTAGCTGGGTGGGGGTTGGCCTCTTCTTTCAACTAACAAGTGATAGGACAAGGAAATGGCCTCAAGTTGCTCCAGAAGTTGTTCAGATTGGATATTAGAAAAAATTTCTTTGCTGGGGTTGGGTTGTCAAGCACTGGGACAGGGGAGTGGTTCAGTCACCATCCTTGCATGTATTTAGTGGATGTGTAGACGTGGCATTAAGGGACATGCTTTAGGGATGGACTCTGGGATTTTAAAGGTCTTTTCCAGCCTGAATGACTCTCTGATTCTATGATCCATCCTCTCAGTAGCACCAGAGTGGTATGTCTCCAGTAAGTTCTTGATGCCACCCTCTGTTGCACATGCATTCTTTTCCAGACACACCACCTCCCACTATATTTGGTTCTCTTGTGTTTGGGGCAGTCTTCCATTCCCAAAGCAAATTAATTTTTCTATTTTAAATACTTCCTTCAAGCACACCTTTTTCCAGAAACTGCAAAGAACTCGACAGAGATGTGGCTGATGAGAACACAGCCATGTGTGCTCATTAATAGTGGTTCATTATTTGCCCTGCACCTGAGTTTGATAGATTTCACTGTGATCTCCTGCCTTTTGTTTCAGCTGACAGAGCCATTGCTTGTCAGTTCTGCTACTGCTTTAACATATCCTGGAGCAGGCCTGGGATACACAGTTACTAAATTACATTAGCAGTAATTTGTCCAGGAAATAGGAAGAAATGCTTTGAGGAACTTCCTAGTCTGAGCCTGGTGTCTGTAACCAGTCCTGAAGCCGACAGTAGTTGCAGGTGTGCAGGTATGGGGAGTGTTTTTCCAGCTGTGACAGCAGGAAGTCAGGCATAGTTAATGTTTAGGATACATAATTTTCACTGAGCTGCTGCCAGGTGTCTTCTTTGGCTACAGTCTCACTGTCTTCTGGCCTATTCTTTTGTCTATCCCGTGTTCAGGAAAAGGAAGTGTGGTGCGAAGTGCTCTGCCCTTGAAACAGGCATGGTGAGGCTACAGGACATGGAAATAATCAAGACATAACCAACCACAGTGTGTTCTGTTTATTGTATTTGCCTTTTTGGGAGTTATTTGAAGATCTTCCCTGCTCACCTGAGGCATCTTTCTTGGTCCATCAAAAATTACTTAAAGGCTGATAGTAAATGTGGTTTAGACAGCCCTGTTAGCTCAAGGAGCAAATTCATAACACTTCCCCTTTGATTCAAAGAGGACACTTTAAATCTTTAATTTCACTACTGCAAGCATGACCTAAGGAAGGGCCAGGGTGGCACATGGGAAATATTGTCCTTTTAATTGCCTATTCTTTGGAGTAGCAATCTACTCACAATATAACAACTTCTGCTGTCTGGCTCTGGGTGAGTCACACAGCCTTTGGAAGGATTCTGAGGAAGGTTGGTTTCAATTGGTGCTGATGCCCAGATTCCAGCTCTTATCTTAGTTTCAGTGTGTGTGCAAGGAGAGGGACACATAGAGGCAGCACTAGACAGGCTCTTCACAGCTCTCATCTGCCAAATCACTTCTCAGGGTATAGTCAGGTTTTTCGCAGGGTTGTATCAGTCTTCCCACAGATTATCAATAGTGTCTCTTGTAACAGCTGAGGTGAAGTTTGAGGGTGTTTGTCATCCTCAAGGAATTTCACAGGGTCCCTCGTTTATCTATTCTGTGTTTTCCTATCGCAGTTTGTGGAGTAGGAGTATTTTTCATCATTCCCTGACCCATACAGGGTGCCTTGGCTGTCTCTGACACCCAAAGGAACACAGCATCAAGTAGGTGGGACACGTTTTACTACCCTGCCTGATCTCTGGACCCTGTCACCCACCCAGTGGGACATGTGTAATTAACTGGGTATTCTCTGTCCTCTGGAGGAACAGCCTCTCCATGCCAGAGGCCACAAGTTCAAGCTGGATGGAGATAACACATTTCTCCCTTTCATTTTCTCACTTAACAGTCAGCATAGATACAATTATTGCTGGCTGATTTTAGCATTTCTAAAATTCCCATTGTTAGCAAAACCAAAGGCTGCTGTGGATGGGGGCTGAGCTCATTTTTGACGTTCCAGTTCCAAAGACAAAGGAGTATCACACATGACCAAAACCACGTGTACTTTCTGCACACCCGTTTTGAACTGAGTTTTCTTAGAGTTTGCAAGTGTTACCCAATGAAAATGAAAGGGAAGGGCATCTCAGGTTTGTAACTTATTAAATGACCCCAGTCCCTGAATTTTTGAAACTTTGTTCCTCATAGGTAGCACTTAGGTAATGGCCAACAGTAGGAGAGCAACACAAAGGGATGAACATGCTCACCACGTCTCAAGTCAGGACACTGGTTGGAAGCATAAGAATTGCAGGGTAAGTGCAGTTGCACAGGTGTAATTTTCCTTATATTTTCACTTTGGCTATGTGACTTTTTTTTTCAGTAAGCATGCAATGCTGGTTAATTAAGGACTGTAGTTATACCCTGTGTTACCAACAGAATGTTACACACAAACTTGCCCACAGTCTTTGTGCTCTGCTCTCATGGTCGAAGCACGCGTTGGAGATGCTGTACCACTTATCCATGGGGTCTGCCATATGCTCTAAGCAATTTGCTAATTTATTCAATTAATTATTTGGGATACGGATCATTACCCTCATTTTCTAAGGAAAGGAGGCTTCTGCAATTGCACCGTTTTAAGTTTTCCATGGTATCTCTTGAAACTGCTGGCAAATCCAGAGATCCTCCAAAGCTTTTAAGCTTTGGAGGGACAGCTCGCTGGGCAGCTGGGGAGCGAAACGCCGGGCACTGCAGAGGAGCAGCTCCATTGGCATTGCTGCACAGCTTGGGTGATTTGAGGAGCGATGCTGAGGGCCATGGAGAGCCCCTCACCCCGCCGGGCCCTGCTCTGAGGGCTGACACTATCCCGGTGTGAGCGCTCAGGGTGACCCGAGCCGGGGGTGCCCTCACAGACC